CATAATAACCACAGTGAATTTTTATTTTCAGAGACAGGAGCAGAAAAACAGCATCACCATGATCGCCAAGATGTTTGTCATCGTTCTTCTTGTTGTTGGTAGGAAAAAAATTAATTTGTCAAAGAATTTCCTATTCATAAAGATGTGGTTAATGTGAAATATGAAAATGATGTAAGATTCTCTACACAGCCTGCTGCAACGCAGCGACAACAACCACATCTGCAGCGACAACAACCACATCTGCAGGGACAACAACCACATCTGCAGCGACAACAACCACAGCTGCTCCAACAACAACCACAACTGCTCCAACAACAACCACAACTGCAGCGACAACAACCAGATCTGCAGCGACAACAACCACAGCTGTTCCAACAACAACCACAGCTACAGCGACAACAACTACAGCTGCTCCAACAACAACCACAGCTGCAGCGACAACAACCACAGCTGTTCCAACAACAACCACAGCTACAGGGACAACAACTACAGCTGCTCCAACAACAACCACAGCTACAGGGACAACAACTACAGCTGCTCCAACAACAACCACAGCTGCAGCGACAACAACCACAGCTGCTCCAACAACAACCACAACTGCTCCAACAACAACCACAACTGCAGCGACAACAACCACATCTGCAGCGACAACAACCACAGCTGCAGGGACAACAACCACAGCTGCAGGGACAACAACCACAGCTGCTCCAACAACAACCACAGCTGCAGCGACAACAACCACAGCTGCTCCAACAACAACCACAACTGCTCCAACAACAACCACAACTGCAGCGACAACAACCACATCTGCAGCGACAACAACCACAGCTGCAGGGACAACAACCACAGCTGCTCCAACAACAACCACAACTGCAGCGACAACAACCACATCTGCAGCGACAACAACCACAGCTGCAGGGACAACAACCACAGCTGCTCCAACAACAACCACAGCTGCAGGGACAACAACCACAGCTGCTCCAACAACAACCACAACTGCAGCGACAACAACCAGATCTGCAGCGACAACAACCACAGCTACAGCGACAACAACCACAGCTGCAGGGACAACAACCACAGCTGCTCCAACAACAACCACAGCTGCAGCGACAACAACCACAGCTGCTCCAACAACAACCACAACTGCAGCGACAACAACCACATCTGCAGCGACAACAACCACAGCTGCAGGGACAACAACCACAGCTGCTCCAACAACAACCACAGCTGCAGCGACAACAACCACAGCTGTTCCAACAACAACCACATCTGCAGGGACAACAACCACATCTGCAGCGACAACAACCACATCTGCAGCGACAACAACCACATCTGCAGCGACAACAACCACATCTGCAGGGACAACAACCACATCTGCAGCGACAACAACCACATCTGCAGCGACAACAACCACATCTGCAGCGACAACAACCACAGCTGCTCCAACAACAACCACAACTGCTCCAACAACAACCACAGCTGCTCCAACAACAACCACAACTGCAGCGACAACAACCAGATCTGCAGCGACAACAACCACAGCTGTTCCAACAACAACCACAGCTACAGCGACAACAACTACAGCTGCTCCAACAACAACCACAGCTGCAGCGACAACAACCACAGCTGTTCCAACAACAACCACAGCTACAGGCACAACAACCACAGCTGCTCCAACAACAACCACAGCTGCAGCGACAACAACCACAGCTGCTCCAACAACAACCACAGCTGCAGCGACAACAACCACAGCTGCAGGGACAACAACTACAGCTGCTCCAACAACAACCACAACTGCAGCGACAACAACCACATCTGCTCCAACAACAACCACAACTGCTCCAACAACAACCACAGCTGCAGCGACAACAACCACAGCTGCTCCAACAACAACTACAGCTGCAGCGACAACAACCACAGCTGCTCCAACAACAACCACAGTTGTAGCGACAACAACCACATCTGCTCCAACAACAACCACAGTTGTAGCGACAACAACCACATCTGCTCCAACAACAACCACAGCTGCTCCAACAACAACCACAGTTGCAGGGACAACAACCACAGCTGCTCCAACAACAACCACAGTTGTAGCGACAACAACCACATCTGCTCCAACAACAACCACAGTTGCAGCGACAACAACCACATCTGCTCCAACAACAACCACAGTTGCAGTGACAACAACCACAGCTGCTCCAACAACCACAGCTGTTCCAACAATAATCACAACTGCAGCGACAACAACTACAGCTGTTCCAACAACAATCACAACTGCAGCGACAACAACCACAGCTGCTTCAACAACAACCACAACCGCAGCAACAACAACAACAACAGCAGCAACAACAACCACAACTGCTCCAACAACAACCACAACTGCAGCGACAACAACCACAGCTGTTCCAACAACAATCACAACTGCAGCGACAACAACCACAGCTGCTTCAACAACAACCACAACCGCAGCAACAACAACAACAACAGCAGCAACAACAACCACAACTGTTCCAACAACAACCAAAACTGCAGCGACAACAACTACAGCTGCTTCAACAACCATAACTGCAGCGACAGCAACAACCACCTCCTCTGCTATTCTCAACAACATCAGCTTCCTTACAGTAGTTCTGGCTCTGTCGTCACATGTACTCAGATCATGTTTTTAACATTTCTTAAGTTCACATCCTCCAAATGAAGCAACAAACTGAAGTACCTGTGACGATTTGAAATGTTTAAGTAACCAAATGTTTAATCATATATTTATTCTTATTTATTATGGTTTTATTTATTTATTTATATCTATCAGAGAGAAGTTGTTAAATGTTTTCCTGATGTTTGTGTGTTCCAAACTTGTGTGATCAGAGGACTGATATTAAAAATATAGTGATGTCTACAATCTCAACACTGAGCTTATCATAAATAAAGTCTTTTTGCACTGATTAATAAGTGTCTCCTGACTTTTTAAAGATGAGAATAATTTCTCATAATAATCATTTCTCTACAATAGTCAGTGTTAATACTGAGTTATATTCAGCTTTGTTTATATTTCTGCAAATCACAATAGTTATTTCATCATGTTTCCTGTTGTAAATTAAAGACCCTGCAGTATTTGGAAGATGAGATGAGACGAGATGAGATGCCTTTATTAGTCCCACGAGTGGGAAATTTCAACCTTGAAGCAGAGTCGATTATGAGCTCCCGAAGCTCCTTCTGTGGGGCGAATGCCGCTGGATCCATAACCTGGCGGGTCAATACTGTCACGGCAAATGGGATGAGCCGTGTGGAGAAAAATAAAGGAGGATCCAATTGTAGGCACTCGTGGAGGTGCGAAGGACGTTTATTGTAAAAAATAAAACACAAGTGGAAAACGGCAAACGGAACTAAAGATAATCTGAACTGGGAAAACTAAACTACTAGACATGAACACGAACATGGAGGAGGTTGAGCAGAGGCATATGACGGTAGACAGCAGGGAGAACACGTGGATGAAACACGGTAGATTCACAGACAGACCAGCGACTACAACATAAGAAGACATGACTTAAATACACACAGAAGAACACAAGGAGATTACACACAGGTGGGAACACAGCTGGAAGTAATTGACGAGATGAGACAAGGGAGGCAAAACTGAATACGCTCACATAAAACACGGACCTTCACAATAAAACAGGAAACAGGAAATAACAACACAAAGACGCAGACTAGACACTGAACTAAACATGCAGAAAAATGAGGGCATCGAAACTGAACCTAAGAACTGACCCCTCAACCAGAATGACCTGAAACATAGAATTGTAATAATAATCAACAAAGCACAACAAGAGAATCAGAAAATAATCCATAATACAAAATCAAACCAAAACATCTCAAAATACTGTGTCAAAACTGACCCAGAACCATGACAATTAGTATCCACTCCAGCATCCATTCAGTCTTTATATATGGATTTAATAACGGCTGTTCTAGTGTGTGAGGTGTGTTCACAATGTCACACAGACAATACAAGGCTCAACATGACGACCTGTCCTGAAGATTAAAGTCACGTAAGGTAGAGTTCATTTGAAAAGTAAAATAAATTAAAGCTGCCAGCAGTGATGATGGGGAACTTGCACATCAGCGCACGTTGAAGTGTGCTGCAGTTGAAGTAGGCTGGTGGTCACTTCCTGTCCCGGGAAGACATCGTCTGATATGTCATGTAGTTGTGTGTCCTTTGAAATCCACAACAGAAATCTCACGTACATCGCCTGTTGCTTATTTAATGCTACCAGCAAAGAATCAAGACTTTTCATGAAAACTGAAAAGCTCTGAGCATTAACATCAAGAAGTCACCAAAGATCATGCTACTCCAATTCAGTCTCTAGCAGTTCATTAGAATACAAGGTTTGACTATAGTGAAAACACCACCAAAATTACACTTGACCCAAACATTGACTTGTTGTTGGGTTTACGGCAGCGAGGTCAAACTCATTTTACATCTCCAAACACACTCACCTCATTTTGAGTCTATGTGGGCCAGACCAGTGAAACTCTCCTTTCTGTTAGTGCACAGAAGTTTGACAACACATTTTATCCCTGAGATATCTTAAATAACAAATGAAACAACAACCAGCAGCGAGCAGCAGGGACAATATCCCCGCCTATCCTGGGTAACGCACCTGCCCCCAAGATCCTACGTGTATGTTGCTATGTCAAGAGATGTAATGGCTATAGCGTAATTAAAAAGGAGCAACAAATGGCCGCACAGCACAGCCAGCTAAGATAAAATCAGATAGAAAAGATAGATCTTTATTGTCACTGTTACAACAACAATGAAAGGCAGTTTGGCATCTCTCCATTAGCAGTATGTAGATTCTTTACATTAAAATTACTTTAGAATAAAAGATAAAAGACACACAGCTATATACATTTGTATACAAGTTATATATGCTGTAAGGTGCCATATAAAGGCACCCCCCCCCCCCCCCCCCCCCCCCAAGACCCTGCCTGTGTGAATAATGTGTTGTCACAGGAAGCCTCGAGAGGAGAAGGCATGGGATGGCCAGGAGGTAGAGGACTACCCTCAGAAAGAGAGCGCTAGTAAGCACCCCTATTTCCTAAATCCTACCACAGGGAGAGTGGAGCACTCCCTGGCTACCTGTTGGACTTCCCAAGACTACACACAGATCCCAGGCTGGTGTAAGTTTGAGATAAGTCACTGCAAACATCCACCCAAACTGTATCAACTGCACCCCATCCTCCCTCACCCCCTTGTGGCCCAACGGGCACTCAGGAGCCCCAGAGACAGACCGGATGTGGGTCAAGACGTGTTATTATTTGTGTTGTAGATGCCTCAGTTGAAGATCTAGGGACTTTTTCCAGTTCATAATGTACATACGTGTGTGTTGTGATATTAGTTTTGTTGTGTTGTTGCCTAACAGAATCTCCATTTTCCTACATCATGTTGTATCACAACATAGAAATGCATCATCACAGAACTGAAGGTCACACAGGACAGGTTTTCGTGTGACGTGTTGTCTCCTGTTTGACGGATATGTGGCATTCCTCAGTGAAGGCTCAACCATCTCAAGTACATGCTGGGAAATGCTTTAAGCTGTTTTTGGACCTCAGTACAGAAACAATGAATGTTAATTCTCAACATCTGTTAACGCACAGGAGACTAAACTATGAGGTGTGGCTGCAAGTTTATGCAACTAGAAGCAGCTTCAATAACCACACCTCTTATGACTGATTGTGCGACAGAGAAAGGCCGGGATCAAACCTGCTCAGCTATATTTTATAAACTGCTGTGTGTGCTGCTGTTCATATGCATATCTCCAAAGAACTAAAAGAAAATCCATGTGTTGGAATAACTTCAGAATAAATTAATGAACAAATCTGCATCAATTAATTTCCAGAGTTGCACCAGATCAGCAAGATTCATAAAACAAGTTCAACAAAGCAGAAATATGTTGTGTATATATATATATATATATATATAAATCCCTGACCTGTGTTACAGTATAAGACACTTACTGGGCATCTGTGGTACTATTATTTTAACTGCATTGCTAATATGTGGTTTATTGCAGCTGCACTTTTTTTACTCTTTATCATGCTGCTGTTACAGAAAAAAATAAACCCTCGTGCGATCAATGAAGGATGTGTATATCTAAAGTCTTTACAAATAAACTATTTACATAAAGTGACTGATTCACACTGGTGTTGTTTTAGGCTCAAAGAAATAAAAGTTTACACCTTTAAAGACTGTAAGCATCCTTTACTCTCACTTTTTGATACCTGTGTATATTTGAAGATTTGAAGGTGCAAAAGATGAACCCAATCAGGTCTGAAAAGTGAACATAATGCTGAAATGCATTAAACCTGCATTTTTAATCATGGCCAGCGGTACTCGGTGGCTATATTCAATTTATTACAGCACAAGTGTGTAAGTGTCTTTTAGTCGGGTCTCACCTTGTGTCTCTGATAACTGAGGAATGACTTCCTGCATTAAGTGTTGCAAGAAGAAAATGAAAGCAAGCTCCCAACTCGCAAGAATGCCTTTAAAACTGACTTCTTATTTCCATTGATGAAAACTTCTTCATTTCAAGTAAATGAACCAGAAATATTTAGAATGTGTGTAAAAGAAAAGACAAAAAAGAGAGAAATCAGAGTTATTTTGATGTGGACGCTGACTGCCCACCGAGCACCACCAACCTGTAAATGTTGATTCTCCGTCTAAATCTAGTCAGCCAGTTGTGAGATTTAGTTAATCCAAAACTAATCACCGAATATTTGTTTTCTTCTGTCAGATTTTATTATCCAAAATGGTCATCTTTTATGGACCACATAGAGTCCTAATGTAGCCATAAAGATACAATCACATAAATGTAGTCATAGTCACACAGAGAAAATGTCGAAGCTCACGTCAAAACATGTCACAAATATGTGTGTGTGTGTGTGTGTCTGTGTGTGTGTAAGTGCTAAAATTAAAGTGATGACTGTTTCAGGAGGACAATAGGAGAGAGATGCAGGTAAATAAAAGTTTAGTGCACACACCTTAAACCATGACGATAACTACCATTACTCCACCTGCACATATTTGTCCTCAGGTTCATGTTGGCTGATTATAAAAAGAGGAGATGAAGTCAGAGAACATCACTTTCTTTCACTGCAGTGGACGACTTACAAGCAAAGAAATACTATGTAAGTAACCCTAATATTAAATATATATCTGACATCTACATGTGAATTTAAGATGAATTGATAGATTTATTTCTGGAAATGATCTTTTGGCAACATATGGTGTAATTTAGGCAGCAATTTGTTGTGTTGTGTTTATCTTAAAGTTCTGAAGGTTTTTTATGCTTCTGTTTTTGTTTTGTTTTTTGCTATTACCCTTGATAAATAATATATGACACATTCACACACACACACAGCTAGATAGATAGATAGATAGATAGATAGATAGATAGATAGATAGATAGATAGATAGATAGATAGATAGATAGATAGATAGATAGATAGATAGATAGATAGATAGATAGATTTAATGGGTTAGTGATTATATGTCAATATTGGAGTTGATTAACACTATAAACATGAAGTGGTGACTTTTGCTCTGATTTACAGTCAGGAACAATGAGGTCATGATAGTCAGAGCCTTTCCTTCATGATTTCTTAATTTCTTCTTGTTGCTTTTGCGTGTACAAGCACCTCGTTGAGAGATGTGGACTATCACAAAGACAGTACTATAGAAAAAAAATCTATATTTTAAATTATGTAATTGAATAGGAACTTTTTTATATTATGAGTTTTAGATCTCAAACTTCTTTTCAAGATAACTTTAGAAAGCTTAATTAAGGCAATTGTAGGAATAATGCTTTCTTTAAATCATAATAACCACAGTGAATTTTTATTTTCAGAGACAGGAGCAGAAAATCAGCATCACCATGATCGCAAAGATGTTTGTCATCGTTCTTCTTGTTGTTGGTAGGAAAAAAATTAATTTGTCAAAGAATTTCCTATTCATAAAGATGTGGTTAATGTGATGAAATATGAAAATGACGTAAGATCCTCTACACAGCCTGCTGCAACGCAGCGACAACAACCACATCTGCAGCGACAACAACCACAGCTGCACCAACAACAACCACAACTGCTGCGACAACAACCAGATCTGCAGCAACAACAACCACAGCTGCTCCAACAACAACCACAACTGCAGCGACAACAACCACAGCTGCACCAACAACAACCACAACTGCAGCGACAACAACCAGATCTGCAGCAACAACAACCACAGCTGCTCCAACAACAACCACAACTGCTGCGACAACAACCACAGCTGCTCCAACAACAACCACAACTGCTGCGACAACAACCAAAACTGCTCCAACAACAACCACAACTGCTGCGACAACAACCACAACTGCTCCAACAACCACAGCTGCTCCAACAACAACCACAACTGCTGCGACAACAACCACAGCTGCTCCAACAACAACCACAACTGCTACAACAACAACCACAACTGCAGCGACAACAACCACATCTGCAGCGACAACAACCACATCTGCAGCGACAACAACCACAGCTGCAGGGACAACAACCACATCTGCAGCGACAACAACCACAGCTGTTCCAACAACAACCACAGCTACAGGGACAACAACCACAGCTGCTCCAACAACAACCACAGCTGCAGCGACAACAACTACAGCTGCTCCAACAACAACCACAACTGCAGCGACAACAACTACAGCTGTTCCAACAACAACCACAGCTGCAGCGACAACAACCACAGCTGCTCCAACAACAACCACAACTGCACCAACAACAACTACAGCTGCGACAACAACAACCACAGCTGTTCCAACGACAACCACAACTGCAGCGACAACAACCACAGCTGCTCCAACAACAACCACAGCTGCACCAACAACAACCACAGCTGCTCCAACAACAACCACATCTGCAGCGACAACAACCACAACTGCAGCGACAACAACCACAGCTGCTCCAACAACAACCACAGCTGCTCCAACAACAACCACAGCTGCAGCGAAAACAACCACAGCTGCTCCAACAACAACCACAACTGCTACGACAACAACTACAGCTGCGACAACAACAACTACAGCTGCTCCAACAACAACTACAGTTGCAGCGACAACAACTACAGCTGCACCGACAACAACTACAGCTGCCCCAACAACAACCACAGCTGCTCCAACAACAACCACAGCTGCAGCGAAAACAACCACAGCTGCTCCAACAACAACCACAACTGCACCGACAACAACTACAGCTGCGACAACAACAACTACAGCTGCTCCAACAACAACTACAGTTGCAGCGACAACAACCACAGCTGCACCAACAACAACCACAGCTGCTCCAACAACAACCACAACTGCACCAACAACAACTACAGCTGCGACAACAACAACCACAGCTGTTCCAACGACAACCACAACTGCACCGACAACAACTACAGCTGCGACAACAACAACCACAACTGCAGCGACAACAACCACAGCTGCTCCAACAACAACCACAGCTGCACCAACAACAACCACAGCTGCTCCAACAACAACCACAGCTGCAGGGACAACAACCACAGCTGCTCCAACAACAACCACAGCTGCACCAACAACAACCACAGCTGCTCCAACAACAACCACAGCTGCAGCGACAACAACCACATCTGCAGTGACAACAACCACAGCTGTTCCAACAACAACCACAACTGCAGCGACAACAACCACAGCTGTTCCAACAACCACAGCTGCTCCAACAACCACAGCTGCTCCAACAACCACAGCTGTTCCAACAACAATCACAACTGCAGCGACAACAACCACATCTGCAGTGACAACAACCACAGCTGTTCCAACAACAACCACAACTGCAGCGACAACAACCACATCTGCAGTGACAACAACAACCACAACTGTTCCAACAACAATCACAACTGCAGCGACAACAACCACATCTGCAGTGACAACAACCACAGCTGTTCCAACAACAACCACAACTGCAGTGACAACAACCACAGCTGCTCCAACAACCACAGCTGCTCCAACAACCACAGCTGTTCCAACAACAACCACAACTGCAGTGACAACAACCACAGCTGCTCCAACAACCACAGCTGTTCCAACAACAATCACAACTGCAGCGGCAACAACCACAGCTGCTCCAACAACAATCACAACTGCAGCGGCAACAACTACAGCTGTTCCAACAACAATCACAACTGCAGCGACAACAACCACAGCTGTTCCAACAACAATCACAACTGCAGCGACAACAACAACAACAGCAGCAACAACAACCACAACTGTTCCAACAACAACCAAAACTGCAGCGACAACAACTACAGCTGCTTCAACAACCATAACTGCAGCGACAGCAACAACCACCTCCTCTGCTATTCTCAACAACATCAGCTTCCTTACAGTAGTTCTGGCTCTGTCGTCACATGTACTCAGATCATGTTTTTAACATTTCTTAAGTTCACATCCTCCAAATGAAGCAACAAACTGAAGTACCTGTGACGATTTGAAATGTTTAAGTAACCAAATGTTTAATCATATATTTATTCTTATTTATTATGGTTTTATTTATTTATTTATATCTATCAGAGAGAAGTTGTTAAATGTTTTCCTGATGTTTGTGTGTTCCAAACTTGTGTGATCAGAGGACTGATATTAAAAATATAGTGATGTCTACAATCTCAACACTGAGCTTATCATAAATAAAGTCTTTTTGCACTGATTAATAAGTGTCTCCTGACTTTTTAAAGATGAGAATAATTTCTCATAATAATCATTTCTCTACAATAGTCAGTGTTAATACTGAGTTATATTCAGCTTTGTTTATATTTCTGCAAATCACAATAGTTATTTCATCATGTTTCCTGTTGTAAATTAAAGACCCTGCAGTATTTGGAAGATGAGATGAGACGAGATGAGATGCCTTTATTAGTCCCACGAGTGGGAAATTTCATGTTAAGGCTGCCGACCATTTGCACGCAATGGCGGCGCCATCATACCCTCTGACCATACATACATTGCACGAAAACATCACATGGGGAAGACAGGTCAGAGAGGTATAACAATGGAAAATGCACAACATGAGGAAAGCTAAGGAGAAAAAAAATAACACCACCCAGAAAAAGACAAAACAGGTAAACACAAACTGTGGGAGAAAATTGAGTGACATGCTGCAGTGGTATATAAACACACAGAGACAAAAAAGAGTAGATAAGGATAAAAATGAGTGATTCTGATAATCCAGAGTATATGACTGTGGTTTTATGGGGTCTGATATCTCCTTGTAATGTAAACAATCAACTCAAATATCCAATTTGATTATTAAACTTGACAGTGGTAATCTAACACAACTAACAGTTGACACTCACATACAGCTGCTTTTACAACCACAGAGGTGCAGAAGAATGTGATGTAAGCAGAAACTTTGCGTCTCACTCCCACTGCGCCACATATGGACATTTGGTCAGGACCTGTTGTCATCACACTTTAATGCAACAGGTAACTGACACAACTTTTCCCCTTAAATAAACGAGACCTCAAAGAAGACCAATACGAATCTTACTGCAGGTACGAGAATTCTAATTAGAGGACTGAACCTGTTCACAGTCACAGCGGTAAAATGTAGCAGGTCACTTCTGAAAAATGTCACAGAGCATGTGTGAAACAGCACTGCAACAGTCAGTGTTGTTGGCTGTTTCAGGAGGACAAAAGCAGAGAGACACTTGCATTCAAGCTGTGTCTGCACACACCTTTAACCAGGACGATATCTACCATTACTCCACCTTCTCATTATTATCTGGATGCTGATGTTATCACATGTCGCTGGCTCATAAAACATCACAGTTTCTCTCTGCAGCTGAAACTACCAGTCAGCCATGACACTTTTACCACACAACCTTGAAGTGAAATCTGCATTCAGGTAGCCTAATGTAGGCAGACTGGAAAGAACAAGAAAGCATTACTCTGATTTAAAACTTCAGCACCACGTAGTCTGTGAGTGGTGGAGCCAGAACTCTGTCAGACGGACTCAAAACTCCACAACACATTTCATGTTCACATGTTGAACCCATTGTGAATTGGACCTTGGTAACATTCAGCTTATCATTTTACTCTAATAATTAACTGTCCAAAACCCCAGATAGGTGATAGTTTAAGATTTTGTTACAATTCTTCCTGTGCTTTGAGACAACACCTGTTTAGCCATACTGCCATACCACAATCATTTTTATTCAGCAGCGAGCAGTGTCTATCAGCCATGCATCCATTTCATTTATCAGTCCACTTCCATTAGCTCATCATTTCTGTCGGCAGCAAATGATTTTAAACATTTGTTCAATTTTGGACCTTTTTGAGTGGTCTGTATTTGAGTTTTACACTACTGCGAAAGAAAGCATATAGAAAACTTTAATGTTTAACTTTCATCATCGATTGAGCCAATATGACAAATTGTACGAGAAAAGCAAAAATACAGTCAAATCCAAAAATAGCAAAATGCTGGAGTTTCTAAATATCCTCTAATTATAATTCAGAAAATAACTTTCACTAGTGTTTCTTCCCATCAAAAAGAATCCGGATCTGTAATTTCAGACCGATATATTTGGTGATAGCAATATGAAAAAATCACACCGTCTTGTAAATCTAACATGTGAGCACACACACCAATAAAAGCTTCACAATGGAAAACACAATTGTGTCAGTTCATAAATATGTTTATAGTAATATTTCAAAATATTGCAAAAACGACTTTATTTGAACTATTTATTTTGTGTTTGAAGAATTTTACAGTGGTACTCCAGAATTTCTTTTCTTGTTTATGACTGACTTTCTTCACCAGTTTGATAGGTAAGCTTCAGTCAACATAAGTTACTTTTACAGGAAATGTTTTGCAGGAAGTCTTTGCTAAATATTGCACAGAGGTGATTCATGTGTGCAGCAGCTGCTGGCGTCAGTGATCAGAACCAGGAGCTTTTTTTAATCTCCTGGTAAATACCAACAAGCTGACTGACAGCACAGTCTATTACAGTTTATTGCATGTCTGATGATGCATTTAAGCAGCAACACACCCAATGCACAGAAATGTTCTTCACTTTTGTGAGTGAGTTTAAACCTTCCAGGAAGATGTTGTTGGAAATTTAAAAGCACAATAATTTATTCAAGAATGAACCTAAACTGGCATTAAATACACACAGTCTTTGGCCATAAACTATAGTCGGCATGCATCCAGGACAGTATTGAAGTTCCACCCTTCTTTCTTCTAGCTCTCATAAAATACATAAATATTTATTAATGTTTAATGAAGATGTTTTATGTTCAGGTGACTCATTTGTTAAGTAAAAGCACAATGATGATTAGTATCCACTCCAGCCTCCATTCAGTCGTTATATATGGATTTAATAAAGGCTGTTCTAGTTTGTGAGGCGTGTCGTCAATGTCACACAGAAACAACAAGCCTCAACATGACATCCTGACATAAAAAGAAAAGTCATGTACCATATACCATATATACACATATATAAATACAGAGTATTATTAAATCTCGTTCTTTTAATTCTTCTGGTGGCCAAGAAAGACTCAAAGTGGTCAAACTCAAAAAATGATCTTTATTTTACATTCCCGGGAACGGAGACCTGAACACACGAACACACAAGCTCAGGTCTGAAGCACAAACAGGAAGCCTAGTTATTTATATACTTCCTCTAGACGTCACACACACTTTGAGTTTCGATCAAAGACTCTGCTTAGTTTCACTTTCTGGCTGCAGCTCCTATTTTCTCTGCAAAAGCACGCAGTTTCCTGTTAGTACTTTGGCACAGACTGTACTCAGAGTTGGGCCTCTCTTATACATATAATCAGCAAATAAGCATTCAGATTGTATATTTAAATCCCAACAGTTTCCCCTTTCGTGTTTCCCAAGAAACCAGAAACATAATTCCTAATTTCTCCCATTAAGTTTACTTTCATGTGAGAATAATAGCTAAAATATAACAAAAGAAATCATATCAAAAATGAAACCTTTCAATTGCCCAACCCTTTCAATGTTCCCTTATTACTATGGCGTAGTTACTTGTATCCACAACAAATAAATCAAACAAATAAATCACGCCCTTATACAGCACCTCGCGTTTACGCTGGGCTGTGAGCTATCGTTGCTTCTCTTCCTACCATCCGCTTTTGACCCCAGAGTCACAATTTAACCGCACTTCTGACTTCCCTCAATGCTCACTATAAAATCCAATCATGTATAATTAACTTTATCCTATTAAAAGGCCTCTATAGAGTTAAAATGTAAAATTTACTCCTGGTTTTCACCCCCTCTAGGGGTAACATATATCCGGTCTTAACACTATTCTTGGGCAATTTACATAACATAGAAATCCTGCAAACTATTCCTAAAGTCCCTCTCATTACTCTTCATTACTTTTACGCACACATTCAACCTGTGTCTAACAAGCTTTTAGTCTCTTAAACAACACATTTGCTGGTACTGTGGTTCTCTGTGCTGTGCTTCTTTTCGGGGTCCCCCTTCCTCTGGTTGGTTCCTGGATTCTCGCCATGGTTTTGCTCTGGTTCTGGAATCTCCTGTAAAGAATAAACAAACACTTTCCCTGCTACGCCTCCATAACCTATTATGTTCATCAATTGTTCTCTTAATTCTTCAAACTTGGTTCAACCTATCATGTTCGGGACTCTCTAATCAAAAGGATCAGCCTCATTATGTGTATAAGCATGTTGGCATTCATCCATCGGCACTCAGGGTCCTCCCTACAATATATCAGTTCAGTCAGTCACGCTGAACGACGTTTTTGACCTTCACTTTACCGAGTGACAACTCCTATGAGCACGATTGCAATGTGTGTATAAAAAATCATTTATACATAAATAATCTTCAATGTTATTCATTTGGTTAAGCGACACTTTTGACACAATTTTAAGAAGCTCTCTTCTTCTCTTATCTGATCATAAACATCCTGTACAAAAATAAAAAAAAATGTTATTTTGCAGGCGCACATTCAGTTGCAAGCTCACCCACATTTTTCTGTCTCAGTCTTCATATCCTTCCTGTCGACCTATTCAGAGCAGGCCTATTTCCACACCTTCTGCATTACTTCTTGCTAAGCAAAGACAAAGCAAACTGTTTTTCATCTTTACCCCAGAAACTAATCTATGTCATGTCTGTGACTGTAAGTGTGCATGATAACCGCTTATTCTAGAAATCAAAAAGAAATCAAACATTTTTACTCCAAAAATCTTCCTTTCTACAAAGCATATGTTTTATTCAAGCTGTCCCACAGTTTCCCTTTAAGATTGGTATTCAACTTATTATGAACAGGATTCAGTTCATTTTAATCCTTTAGCTTAAAAATGAAAATAACAATTTCTGCCTCTTTCATGGTCCGGGTGTGTGCCAGTGTGTCTCCCTCCGAGCCGGCGTCTCCACCCCGGGAGGGGCCTCAGTGTTTTTGCTGATCGCTTACACCTGTGGGTAATTTAGCCGGGGACTCATAAGGCCAGCGTTCTCAATCTCTCTTCGCCAGATTCTCTGCTAACATCAGTCAGTGCAGGCCACCACCATCATTCCCTATGTATTTTGTGAATCACTTTGCCTCACTGTATGTTTGTCTTTTGTGCGCCTCTCTCTTAGCTACACCCAACTGTCAACCCCTGTCGAAGAGCACCTACTTGGATGCTGGACCATCTAGCAGTCCCACAGGCTATTACCCAAATTACCTACCTGCCTCTCTGCCTCCACGCCAGGAGTTTTTTGGATTTCACACCCGGACTACTCACCCCTCTACGTCATCTCCGACCTCCTTTGGCAAGTACGCAGTACGAAGGAGGATTCTGAATCAGCAACATATTCATATGTCTCCTTATCCGTATCTGAACATCTGCACTCTGTTACAGTGACCCCGACCTTTTCCTGGATCAAATGTGACTTGCTTTCCAGTCCAATCCCTGGAATAGCTGTCCTCTCTGACCCGGACCAGATCATTACTTAGTTTCAGTGGTGGAACGTCGTACTTGTCTACTCTCACCTTTTGTTTATGAATATTTGTGGAAACATTAAACTTTATTCTTAAAATCTACTTACGAGCTGTTCGGCGTCCTGCGTTTGAGTCCTGTCACTCGTCCAAAACGGTCTCGGCCGTAACAGCCTGTTTTACCGTATCTAAATTATCAAAACACCCCAAAAGTCATAAAATGATTATAAAGCCCCTTATTTCAAATTAAATCCAAAATAATCTAAAAACCCTCAGCAATTCTCCTCTCTGAGTACCCGTCCTCTGGACCTCCAAACCTGTGTTCAGAAATAAAATCAGTTCAATCATCATGTTAAATCTTTTAAACTCCTGACTCCATTCAGAGCTGCCTAGAAACAAAACCTTCATTTTAAAACTCAATTTCCCCCCTTGTAATGCAATCTGTGTTATAACAAAACTTAAGACACAACAGTTATCAGTCATGTTCTTCATACACAATTTCCCTATTTTGATTTCATTTTGCTCCTCTTAATGTAATGGTACATTTTGATTTTACTTTATCAGGGATAAATAGAATAAATAAGAATAAGAACACAAGGGAATGGCACATTTCACGTATTGAAGTCTATTGTACTGTTGGATATTAACAAAGTATTGCACAGTGAAAAGGCACTACAGCTTAGTCGTGTGGCATTCTTCAGTGAAGACTCAACCACCTCGAGTCTACCGTGAGGAAAATGCTTAAGCTGCTAATTCCAAGCAGCTGTTAATGCGTAGACTAAACTCTGAGGTGTGGCTGAAAGTTTATGTAACTAGAAGCAGCTTCAGTGTCACACTTCAGTAACCACTCCTCATATTACTGAAGATTTGGAGACCGGCCAGATTAAACCTGCTCAGCTAGTTTTTCTGAAATGCTGTTTTTACTGCTGTTCCATATGTTAGAATAACTTCAAACTTCAGTGCAAGGTACAGCATCATATACATATATAAGATGCTGTACCTGCAATTAAAAAAATGTAATCTAAACTGGTGGATAAGTTGGTAACAGAAAAAAAATGATTACATTACTGAAGAACTCAAAGACAAAAGATCCTCTTTTGGCAGTTGCCACTCAAATTATAAATGAAGCTATTTAGAGGGCGTAATTCTCTTTGTCCTTAAAAATGTAGTTGTTCCTCCAGTATATAAAGCTGGAAACAAACATTTAGTGATTTTACCTGGGCTTTTCTGAGGTTATTGAAAAAGTAAAGCAAGCAGCTGAAAGAACATACAGAAAGACAAACCCTGTCTGGATTTAGAGCATTCGACCGAAACTGCATGTTGTTACTTTATCCTTAAAACCAAAGAACTCATAATGGACTTCAGGAGGCACAGACAGGTCCACTCCACTCTTGGACCCACAACACCATCAGCCTGGTAACGAAGGCCCAGCAGCAGCTGCACTTCCTCCGTGTCCTGAGGAAGAATAACCTGGACCAGAAGCTGCTGCTAGCCTTTACCGCTCCTCAGTGGAGAGCATACTCTCCTTCTGCCTGGTGTTTGGTGTTCAGGAACCACGACTGAGAACAGGAAGGCTGCACAGAGCATTAACCAAAAGTATCACCTGGACACACCTGGAGGCATTCGCCAGATCCTCCTGTATCAGGTAAACCAGGGCTATCACAGGTGAGCCTGCCGACTACCCGTTTGACCCGCTGCCTTCTGGTTAGTCAGGCAGGCCCCAAACCTCCAGACTCACTAACAGCTTCTTCCTCTGGGCCATTCAGACTGTCAACAAACACTACTGCCATCCCTGCCCACGACCTCACTAATCTGATCCATGGTCTGAGTGACCCTCATCATTCAGGACACTCACATGCAGATCAAGTCTGTTGCACTACTTCAAAGCACTTTTCTTTTAATGTGTAATTCTGTACATATTCCTCTTGACTATTTCTTCTGTTTGCTCTTTATTCCTGATGTCTGTACTATTTATATTTTTTTCCTCCTGCACCCCATTCATGCTGTAAATGTACAGTGACAGTAAAGGAGTATTCTATTCTATTCTATTCTATTCTATTCTATTCTATTCTATTCTAATAACACCAGAAGAATAACCTGAGGTATGTTTGAGTGAATTATGTATTACTCACTGTGCACTATCTGCTGTGTAGAACACTCTGCCTAGACAGTGAGCTTAGACACAAGCTGTAAACAAATATGAATAATGGGCATCCATAGAAAGGGTATCCATGCAATCAACGCCAGTCTCACAAGTGTGCACTGCCAAATGTGCCAAACATCTATGTAACACCCGGTTTTTGAGTTTATTATATTATTTACAGTTTCTAGTCTTTGGGTTTTTGTTACAGTCATGTCTTATGGTTTGTCTCTGTGTAATCCTTAGTTGCTATATCCCCGTGTCCAGTCAGTGTCTCTGTCTGCCCTGGTCCCACGTCTCTGTTGTAGTGCCTGCATGTGAGTCTGTGTCTTTGTTCAGTCTGTGTTATGTGTTTCCTGTTTTACTTTGAAGGTCTCTGTCTTATCTCAGTGTGTTCAGTTTACGCTTCCTTGTCTCGTCAGTTCTGATTTGCCCCAGCTGTGTTTCCCTCCTGTTGTCCATTCCCTGATTGCTCCTCTATGTATTTAAGCCCTGTGTTTCAGTTTGTCATGGTTGTGATCTACTCTTATCTACCCTTGCTTATGCTGTGTGCTTTGATTTTTCCCCTGCCTGCGTTAATGTTTGTACTTGGAGGTTTGTTACTTTGAGTTCAGCATTAAAGCTGTTTTTGAGTTCACGTCTGTCTCCGGAGTCTGCACTCTGGGTCCTTTTCCTGCCTGCACACAGCTGTCACATAACACATCCACTATGTAAGTCTATGTGCTGCAGTCATTGCCGAGGGCTTGTTTATTACCGGCCACCATAACACCGTGTCTTTGTGTGACACAGAAAGGTGAACGATGGTCTCTACATGCATAGTTCCCACCATGAAGCATGGAGGAGGTGTGATAGTGTGGGGAGGCTTTGTGGTGACACTATCAAGGATTTATTCAAAATTGACGGCACACTGAACCAGCATGGCTACCACAGCATCCTGCAGCCACATGCCATCCTGTCATTTATTTTTCTTTTTTTCTTTTTTTTTTGCCCGTTTGGATCTTTAGCCGTCAGAATTGTTGTCTGAAGGCAGAAAGATGCCAAACAGATTTACTTCACCAAGTGGATCATCATGGCCTTGCCATATTGGTCCATTTGATTGACCTTTATTATAATTATGTATTTATTTTATTTTCGTTTTTTAAAGACGGGACAGACATGACTGGGGGATAGGACAGGGAGAAAGAATGAAAGAAAGAGAGGGAGAGAAAGAAAAAGAGAGGAGGGGAGAAGAGACGGTGAGAAGGGGGAAGAAAGAAAAACAAACACCTGGATCACCTGTGTGGAGAAAAAAAACCAGAAGAGAAAACAAACAACAAAGAGCTACATAATAAAAACAACACCATCACAATAAACTAGCTAGCAGTAGATAACAGTAGATACTAAATATTACATGTTATTGTTTTTTTGTTTTATTTTTTAAATTTCACCTGTTGAGAAAGAAAAAAGAAAACAAGCCGAAGAAAACGAGAGCAACATAATAAACAACATCACAATGATATATGGGAATATGACAGTAAATACTAAATGTTAAACATTATTGTGCAGCACATAAGATCAACAGAACACAGTGTGCTTTGAGGTAGGAGCCAAAAAGGGTGTAGTTTGTGTGTGTGATCACCCGTGTGTACACCTGTGAGCATGGATGCGCTTGTTTTTAAAAGGTTCCTTCATGTAATGATCTGCTAGAGGGTGTGGGGGGGCCACAGCCCCGTCCTCCAGGGCATGAAGCAGGTATGGAGGAGATCAAAACTCCAGACATCCAGAGGCCCCAGAACACAAGAGACCAAGGAAGACCAACAGAGGGGCAGCTGCGCCACTGTCCAGAAAGAGCTGAGGAGAGTCCCAGATGAGGGCTCACTCAGCAGCCGCGGAGCAGAAGCCAGGGGGAGTTGCAGTTACGCGCCCGTGAGCTCCGCCGGCAGCCAGCCGTGCCTGAGTGGCGGGGAAACCTAATAGACCAATCCCACCTGCTCCGCTACATCCTATTCCAGTAATAGGTGAGCCGTTTGAAAAAGTAATATTGGATTGTGTTGGTCCCCTGCCAAAAACTAAATCCGGACACCAATACATACTTACAATAATGTGTTCAGCAACAAGGTTCCAGAGGCAATTCCACTACACACACTGAAAGCAAAAACGATAATAAAAGCACTAATTAAGTTTTGCTCTACTTTCGGGCTTCCAAAGGTTATTCAAACAGACCGAGGAACAAATTTTACTTCAAAGTGTTTGTGCAGGTTGTGGATGAGTTGCAGATAAAACATGTAAAATCCAGTCCATATCACCCAGAAAGTCAGGGTGCTCTGGAGAAATTCCATTAAACCCTCAAAGCTATGCTGCGCAAGTTCTGTGCGGAGTCTGGTAGAGAATGGGATGAGGGTCTGCCGTTATTGTTGTTTGCCGTCAGGGAGGCCACTCAGGAATTCTTGGGATTCAGTCCTACGGATCTGGTGTTTGGACATGTGGTCCGTGGTCCTTTCCAGCTTCTGAAGGAGTGGTTGTCAGAAACGTCTGAAACTCAACATAATGTCCTTGATTATGTTAGTGGACTTCAGGAAAAACTCCACCTTGCATGCCAATTAGCTCGGGAAAATCTGACTCATACGCAGGCTAAAATGAAAGCTGGTTATCATACAAAGGCTGTTTACAGAAGTTTCCAGCCGGGCTAGAAAGTGTTGGTGTTGCTGCCTGTGGTAGGGTCCAGTTTGCTAGCCCAGTTCGCTGGCCCATATGTGGTGGAACAGAAACTCAGCGAGAACAATTATGTGATCCAGACCCCAGACCGTCGGAGAAAGTCTAGGGTTTGTCACATTAATATGTTGAAATCGTGTCACTCAAGGAGCCCTTTGGGTGCGCCATCTCCAGTGTGCGCCGCTAGTGTTGTTTCTCCTTATGAACCCTCTGATGACGGACTGCTCCAGAAAAGTGAAGCGCTGGGTAGCGGTTGAAAAATTCGGAGATCTTAAATGATTTAGAGACATATTTAGCCCACCTATCTGAGCCCGCTCGAGCTGACATCACTGATCTGATAGAGGATAATTTATCACTTTTTCTGATCATCCTCATCAAACTGCAGTCCTGTACCACGACATTGACGTGGAAGGACATTAAGCAGCATGCCTATCGAGTGAACCCAGTGAAAAGAGTAATAATGCAGAAGGAAGTCAGCTATCTCTTAGAACACGGTTTAGCCAGCGCGTGGAGTTTGCCGTGTGTGCTGGTACCAAAATCTGACAACACTCCTCGGCTTTGTAATGATTACAGGAAAGTTAACGTTGTTACCAAACATGATTCATTTCCTCTTCCTTGAATGGAGGATTGTATTGATAGAGTGGGATCGGCATCTTTTGTAACCAAACTTGATCTGTTAAAAGGTTACTGGCAAGTACCTTTAACTCCCAGAGCATCTGAAATATCTGCTTTTGTCACGCCAGATCATTTTCTCCAGTAGACGGTTATGCCGTTTAGGTTGCGTAACGCACCCGCTACGTTCCAGCGCCTTATGGGCAGTACTGGCCGGCGTGAATAACTGTGATGCCTACTTGGATGATGTTGTCATTTACTCATCCACCTGGTCTGACCACTTACAAACACTCTCTCTCGTTTTCAGCCGTTTTCAGGAAGCCTCGCTTACTCTGAACCTGGCCAAATGTGAATTTGGCAGAGCCACCATCACATACCTGGGAAAACAGTTGGGTCAGGGACAGGTAAGGCCGGTGACTGTGGAGATACAGGCTATTGTCGAGTTTCCGGTCCCACAAACGAGAAGGGCGCTACGCCGATTTCTAGGAATGTGTGGTTATTACAGAGGTCCATGAAAGAACTTCGCCACTGTTGTCGTTCCTCTCATCGATTTGATCAGCCAAGTGAAGCCTTTTGTGTGGACGCCTGTTTGTCAGACTGCTTTCGAGTCTGCGAAAGCATTGCTGTGCAGTTCCCCTGTTCTTACGGGACCTAATTTCAGGTGCCCTTTCAAGCTCGAGGTTGACGCTAGTGCGGCTGGTGCAGGAGCTGTCCTTATGCAGGAAGCCCATCGCGGGGTGGATCGCCCAATTTGCTATTTTTCCAAAATGTTCAACAAACATCAGATGAACTACAGCACTATTGAAAAGGAAGCCCTTGCCTTGTTGTTAGCCCTGCAGCATTTCGAGGTGTATATTGGATCCAGCTCTATACCCATTCAAGTATTCACTGACCACAAACCATTGGTGTTTCTCTCCCGGATGCAAAACTCAAATGAGAGACTTATGCGTTGGTCACTACTTTTGTCAGGATCCTGGGTCATTCGACCCAGCGTTCGTAGTTTTTCCTGTGTTCCTGTTTCATGTTAAGTTCATTTGTTATTCTTGGAGGTATTTTATTGGAGGTCCTAAGATGTTTAGTTTACTGGGCTTCCCCTCCTTGTGTTTCATTCCATGTTTTCCCAGCCCGTCATGTCTGTGCTCCCCCTCGTGCTTCTCTGTGCTTTATTCTCCCCTTTGGTCTGTGTCTCTGTGTATTTCCTGTTTTACTTTGAAGTTCCATGTCTTATGTGAATGTGTCCTACTTTGCTTCCTTGTCTTGTCAGTTCTGATTTCCCCCAGCTGTGCTCTCCTTCTGTGTCTTGTTATTTCCCAGTGTATTTAAACCCTGTGTTTCTCTGAGTCTGTGTCGCGTCGTCCCTCAAGCTGTGTGTTCCCTCATGTGCCTCTCCGTAAAGTATAGTTTATATTTTCCCAGTATACTTTAGTTTTGTATCTTTTCCTGGTGTCTTCGAATAAAATCTACATTCTGAGTTCATCCCTCGAGTCTGAGTGCCTGCATTTTGGGTCCAACTCCTGCCTGCCACACAGCGCTTCCTGACAACGTTTGCAGGATTTTAACCTGCAAATCAAGAAAGGAACGGAAAATGTCATCGCTGACGCCTTGTAAAGAGCAATTTCTTAGTTTGGGAATTAAACAATAGGAGGGTTGTTTAATTCAGGTAATATATCTGTTTATACTAATTCAGCTGTGCCAGGGCCCTGCTCCAATTGGTGCGTGGATACACCGCCCCGTCGTGACTGGTTCCAGCTGGAGGACCCGGGTAGGGGTGAGCTGCAGTTTCTTTTGATCACCAGTTTTCTCCTGTTTTGAATTAGTTAAGCAGGTCAGACTCTGTCTTTATTTTTTGACTTGTTTTAGTAAGGTCAGGGGTGTAATATTTGCAGAGTTCATATTTGGTGGAAGTCTGCCACACAATAAATAAGATTTAGAATATGCTTTGTAACTTCTATAGAATTATTTTTGATGTTTGATATAGAATAAAGGGCCATGATCCAACTGATGTTTACCCAGTATTTTAATCTCCTCTTCAAATCACTCGGATCAAATCACTTTTTTATTGTCACATCACATGTGCAGGCACACTGGCACAGCACATGCGAGTGAAATTCTTGTGTGCGAGCCCCACAAGCAACAGAGATGTGCAAACACAAAAACACAAACGAGCAAAATACAAGAATGGCCAACCTGAAACTAATAAATATGTGTACAATATATAATAGTGTATGCATTTCTGGATGTGTATACTAAATCTCTTTACCAGCAAACACTGTGAAAAACTATGGTGAAATACAAGCACAGATATTCTGCCAGCAAAATAAAACCACAACCCAAAAAAAGTATAAACACAAGTAAAATACTCAAGTTCACCAGTAAATGGCAACAAAACAGCAACGGGGATTAGATTACAGTTTTTTACAGTCGCTAACAAGCGCCTACCCATACTTCAGATACTTTTTCTAAACTCTTAACACAGACCCACACCTACAAAACACAATTGGCCAAATGGATAATATCCTTCCCAAAAATACACTTTGTTAAATATATACTAACTCCTCATTTCAAAATAGAACACATCTTTCTCTGCACACACTAACTGTACAAAAACACTATAAATCTGACTCAAAATGAAATTAGTCTGTCAAAGAATAACACTTGTTTTCACTCCACAAGGTACATGCAGTCAATCAAAGTACACCAGGTTTCAAAATACTGGCTATTATTGACATTACAAAAACTGCATAGACTTATATGTTTCAGTTTCACAGGTATTTGCATGCGAAACATGCAATCCACCATATTGACACCAGAAATGTCTTGGTTGGTAACTGTATGTCCACATGTACAGTAATGTTCACATTCAAAAGCATTCCAGTAAAAAGCAAACAAGTTTTTGTTTCTCTACTGTTTACTACAGGAGGTACAGTAGAAACACGGTATGATAGGACAGAGAAAGTTTTACAGTATTGCTTACAGTGAACAAAATATCCATGAAACACACAAGAGCATTCTGAACAAAAAAACAACAGCAAAAAGCCAAGATAAAAAGGGGGGGAGGGGGGCTAAAAAAAGGCAAAAAAGTTGCATCTAATCTCTGCGATCTTCAGGGTTAGGCCACATGTTTTCATCAACATCACATCTGATGTCAGCCAAGTCGATGCACCTGGGATAAAACCGCCTGGTATGTCGGATCCACCCTTGGCAATCGTCAACTGTGATGTCCCTGGAGCCAGCATCCATGGCTTCAAGGAGGGACATCTGGTCATGTGGCTGATGGTCATAAACCTTCCACCGCCATGCAGAAAAGAACTCCTCTATGGGGTTGAGGAAAGGTGAATAGGGTGGAAGGAAGAGACTCACCAGTCTTGGGTGGACTTCAAACCATGTTGTTATTGCTTGCGAGTGATGGAAAGCCACATTGTCCCAGGTAATTACAAAGGTCCTCATGTTTTCACCCTCCTGACCCTGCTCTGGAACCAGGCGCTGGTGGAGATCATTGAGAAAGGCAAGCAAGCGCTCTGTATTATAGGGTCCAACCTGACATTTGTGAAGGAGTAATCCTGCATTTGCAATTGCTGCACACATGGTAATGTTTGCCCCTCTCTGTCCTGGCACATCAACTGTGGCCCTTTTTCCAATTACATTCCGTCCACGTCGACGCCTTTTGGCCAGATTGAATCCTGCCTCATCGATGTATATGAATTCATGAGGGGCCTGGTTGGCCTCCAATTCCATAACTCTCTGAAACAAAGTTTATGTAAGTCATGTTAGTACTGTATACCATACTGTACTGTAACCTAGTATTGTGTAGGTTACCTACTTGCAAAGTGCAAAGCTTATAGAACTGGACATTGGATTGAATATACACTGTACCTGGACATATTGTCGTCGTAGCTCCTTGACCCTCTCACTGTTCCTCTCAAAGGGAACAGTGTAGAGCTGCTTCATCCGCACTCTATGTTTGGACAATGTCCGCGAAATGGTTGTGAGGCTGATTCTATCGATATTGTCGAATATCTCATGGTCCGCCACAATTCTAGTTTGAATTTCACGCAGTTTTATTGCATTATTTGCAGTAACCATTTCTACAATGGCAAGCTCCTGATCATTACTGAGGAGCTTTCCTCTTCCCCCAGAGGGTGGAAGACGTTGCATTCTTTAGAAAGACAGACAATTCAACATATGCATTACTGTATGACCATATTGACATGTCAAGTGAGAATAGGAACAATCCATGTAAAATGCAATACTTACCTGTTGGTTTGTTGAAAGGTGCGTATAATGGAGGCAACCGTTGACCGCCTCAAATTGGGCTGCACTCTTTCACCAGCCTCTCTTAGTGAAAGACCATGGTTGATTACATGGTCAATGATAGTGGCACGGATTTCATCACTGACTACTGTTCTTGCAGCCCTTGGAATGCCACCACCACGCATTCTTACACCTATACCTTGCCCTCTCCTTGGGCCTGCTCTTCTCTCTGGGCCCCTTGCTCTTACTCCTCCTCGACCAGACATTACAGTGTTTGTCTTTTTTTTGTTTCCAAAAACATCACTCCTCAAGGTCTTGCCTTATGAACCCCACTGAGTCTAAGCCAGAATGGAAGAAGGTGTGGTTGGCCCAATTTACCCAACATAAATCAGCTGTGTGTCAATTATTCAATTGTTTGTTTGTTTACAGCTGAGATATATTTTTGATATTGATATTGTTTTTGTACTGATATCATTGCAGGGGCAGAGGTTTTTATACTGTATCTACGGTTTGGAATATTGTTTTTGCTATTGTGGGATGTTGTGTGTTAACATTCGTAGATACTACAAGAACAGTCCATAGTTTTGTTGGGAGGTATAACTTGTCTGTTAAGAAAATGTAAGCATTGTGGAAATGTGTTCACTGACTGCATATTGGGTGAACACGACATGAAATGTGTGAATGGTATGGCCACAACAGACCGATCCTGTGCTAATTGTGTTTAGAGTTTTGCAAATGTGACAACTGTTTGGACAAACGCTTGTTAGCGACTGTAAAAAACTGTAAATGCTCAGCTTTGAACATTATAATCACACAAATTGAGAACAATTAAACACATTTCACTGAGAACGAGCTACATGCTAATTTAAACATTTCATAAATTCTCATAAATAATTTTCTGTTATATTTATATTATTTACAGGAAGTGAACTGAAGAGAAAAATGTTAACAGTATGAGCTGAGTACATGTGACATCACAGGAATAATAACGGACAGGAAGCTGATGTTGATGAGGATGGCAGAGGAGGTGGTGGTTGTTGTTGCTGCAGTTGTGGTTGTTGTTGGGGCAGTTGTGGTTGTTGTCGCTGAGGTTGTGGTTGTTGTTGGGGCAGTTATGGTTGTTGTCGCTGCAGTTGTGGTTGTTGTTGCGGCAGTTGTGGTTGTTGTTGCTGCAGTTGTGGTTGTTGTTGGAACAGCTGTGGTTGTTGTCGCTGAGGTTGTGGTTGTTGTTGGGGCAGTTGTGGTTGTTGTCGCTGAGGTTGTGGTTGTTGTTGGGGCAGTTATGGTTGTTGTCGCTGCAGTTGTGGTTGTTGTTGGGGCAGTTGTGGTTGTTGTTGGAACAGCTGTGGTTGTTGTCACTGCAGTTATGGTTGTTGTCGCTGAGGTTGTGGTTGTTGTTGGGGCAGTTGTGGTTGTTGTCGCTGAGGTTGTGGTTGTTGTTGGAGCAGCTGTGGTTGTTGTTGCTGCAGTTGTGGTTGTTGTTGGAACAGCTGTGGTTGTTGTCGCTGCAGTTGTTGTTGTTGTTGGGGCAGTTATGGTTGTTGTCGCTGAGGTTGTGGTTGTTGTTGGGGCAGTTATGGTTGTTGTCGCTGCAGTTGTGGTTGTTGTTGCGGCAGTTGTGGTTGTTGTTGCTGCAGTTGTGGTTGTTGTTGGAACAGCTGTGGTTGTTGTTGCTGCAGTTGTGGTTGTTGTTGCTGCAGTTGTTGTTGTCGGGGCAGTTGTGGTTGTTGTTGGAAGAGCTGTGGTTGTTGTCGCTGCACTTGTGGTTGTTGCTGGAACAGCTGTGGTTGTTGTCGCTGAGGTTGTGGTTGTTGTCGCTGCAGTTGTTGTTGTTGTTGGAACAGCTGTGGTTGTTGTTGCTGCAGTTGTGGTTGTTGTTGCTGCAGTTGTTGTTGTCGGGGCAGTTGTGGTTGTTGTTGGAAGAGCTGTGGTTGTTGTCGCTGCACTTGTGGTTGTTGCTGGAACAGCTGTGGTTGTTGTTGGAACAGCTGTGATTGTTGTCGCTGCAGTTGTGGTTGTTGTTGGGGCAGCTGTGGTTGTTGTTGCTGCAGTTGTGGTTGTTGTTGGGGCAGTTGTGGTTGTTGTTGCTGCAGTTGTGGTTGTTGTCGGGGCAGTTGTGGTTGTTGTTGGAACAGCTGTGGTTGTTGTCGCTGCAGTTGTGGTTGTTGTTGGGGCAGTTGTGGTTGTTGTTGCTGCAGTTGTTGTTGTCGGGGCAGTTGTGGTTGTTGTTGGAACAGCTGTGGTTGTTGTCGGGGCAGTTGTGGTTGTTGTCGCTGCAGTTGTGGTTGTTGTTGGAACAGCTGTGGTTGTTGTCGCTGCAGTTATGGTTGTTGTTGCTGCAGTTGTTGTTGTCGGGGCAGTTGTGGTTGTTGTTGGAACAGCTGTGGTTGTTGTCGGGGCAGTTGTGGTTGTTGTTGGAACAGCTGTGGTTGTTGTCGGGGCAGTTGTGGTTGTTGTTGGAACAGCTGTGGTTGTTGTCGGGGCAGTTGTGGTTGTTGTTGGAACAGCTGTGGTTGTTGTCGGGGCAGTTGTGGTTGTTGTTGGAACAGCTGTGGTTGTTGTCGGGGCAGTTGTGGTTGTTGTTGGAACAGCTGTGGTTGTTGTCGCTGCAGTTGTGGTTGTTGTTGGAACAGCTGTGGTTGTTGTCGCTGCAGTTGTTGTTGTCGGGGCAGTTGTGGTTGTTGTTGGAACAGCTGTGGTGGTTGTCGCTGCAGTTGTGGTTGTTGTTGGAACAGCTGTGGTTGTTGTGGGTGCAGTTGTGGTTGTTGTTGGAACAGCTGTGGTTGTTGTCGCTGCAGTTGTGGTTGTTGTTGCTGCAGTTGTTGTTGTTGGGGCAGTTGTGGTTGTTGTTGGAGCAGCTGTGGTTGTTGTCGCTGCAGTTGTGGTTGTTGTTGGAACAGCTGTGGTTGTTGTCGCTGCAGTTGTGGTTGTTGTTGCTGCAGTTGTTGTTGTTGGGGCAGTTGTGGTTGTTGTTGGAGCAGCTGTGGTTGTTGTGGTTGTTGTTGCTGCAGTTGTTGTTGTCGCTGCAGTTGTGGTTGTTGTTGCTGCAGTTGTTGTTGTTGGGAGAGCTGTGGTTGTTGTTGGAACAGCTGTGGTTGTTGTCGCTGCAGTTGTGGTTGTTGTTGGAACAGCTGTGGTTGTTGTCGGAACAGCTGTGGTTGTTGTCGCAGCAGTTGTGGTTGTTGTCGCTGCAGTTGTTGTTGTTGGGGCAGTTGTGGTTGTTGTTGGAGCAGCTGTGGTTGTTGTCGCTGCAGTTGTGGTTGTTGTTGGAGCAGCTGTGGTTGTTGTCGCTGCAGTTGTGGTTGTTGTTGGAGCAGCTGTGGTTGTTGTCGCTGGATTTGTGGTTGTTGTTGGGGCAGCTGTGGTTGTTGTCGCTGCATTTGTGGTTGTTGTTGGAACAGCTGTGGTTGTTGTCGCTGCAGTTGTGGTTGGGGCAGCTGTGGTTGTTGTCGCTGCATTTGTGGTTGTTGTTGGAACAGCTGTGGTTGTTGTCGCTGCAGTTGTGGTTGCCCCAACCACAACTGCCACAGCTGCCCCAGCTGTGGTTGTTTTTGGAGCATCTGCAGTTGTTGTTGCTGCGGTTGAGGTTGTTGTCCATGCATTGCAGCAGGCTGTGTAGAAATCTTTTCTCAGTTTCATATTTGTTCACCCTTTTAACGAGTATAAAACTCTTTGAATAATAAAGCTTCTCTTACCAACAAAAAGAAGAACGATGATACAAATCTTTGCGATCATAGTGAAGTTGTTTCTCTGCTCTCTGAAAATTTTGTCCATCATGGTTATTATCAGCTGAAGAAAAGATCAAATGCCTAGCATGCCTATGGTCGGTTTAATTGAAAGTATGAGGTTGGCATGAAAGAATGTTTTTGTTGAGTTAAAATCTTTGCATTTTACTGTTTTCATTCATGGCTGCAACATTATATAACTTTATATTTGAAATTACCAATCTGTGATCTCTTTATTCTTAAAAATCTTACCTTGAAGTTGTCAGTGTGCTTCTCTTACACTTTATCACTTCTTGTAATTTTTCATGTGTTGCTAATTATTTCATATTTACCATCAAGTTGCTTGTTTATACTGAGCTTGAAACAGAAGTATAGAACTAACATAGTTCTTTATTACTATTCATTACTATGAAAACAGAACAGAACCATTTAAAAAACGAAAACGTTACTTTTTTTTAATGAAAATGCTCCCTAAATTAAACAACATAAAGCAACCAGATCACAGTAAAAATAACAATTAACCGTAAAAAACACATGTTGTATATTTAAAATGTATTAATATACAACATGTCAGATATATATTTAATATTAGGATTACTTACATAGTATCTCTCTGCTTGAATGTCATCCACTGCAGTGAAAGAAAGCGATGTTCTTTGACTTCATCTCCTCTTTTTATAAACAGCCAACATGAACCTGAGGGCAAATATGTGCAGGTGGAGTAATGGTAGTTATCGTCATGGTTTAAGGTGTGTGCACTAAACTTTTATTTACCTGCATCTCTCTCCTATTGTCCTCCTGAAGCAGCCATCACTTCAAATTTGTAGTCAAAAAGGATCTGACAGACTAACTCAAACAAATTTTCTGTGATTAGTTTTGGTTTTTATAAAGCTCACAACTGACTGAGTAGGTTTAGACAAAGAAACAACTTTTCCAGGTCTCTACTTCTTTGTTGACAGTCAGTGTGCACATAAAAAACTTCAATTCATTTTATTTTTAAAATTTTCTTTTAAACAAATTCTGTGATTGTTAGAGTCAATGTTCAAACAAGGTGTTCATCTTTTATTTCATTTGATTTTCTTGTATCTTACTACATCACTTAATTCCTGAAAACATTTCTCTGTTATTCTTAAAATACATAAACATCCACTACATAATTATTTGTAAGAAAAAATGTTCTTTAATGATTCGTCAAACAGGAGTCAGCGCATTACTGAATGTCTGGGATTTGCCCATCATACCTAAACATAACTTGTGTGACCTTTTAATAAGCTGCTTCTTGTGGTAGGAACGCATTTCTAAAGCGTGACAATACGTTAGTGGAACAGTAATGATCTGTGTGTTTGTTTTCTCACGTCAGTGGATGGCTGCTGTTTCCTGTTGCGACACCAACCCTGAAATATCCACCAGACACACACATATGCATAAAAATCCTCAGATGTTTAATTGGAGGAGTCAACATTCCCTGATATAACAGCAATGTCTTGTGTGAAATGATACAAGTTGGAATTTGATCATTAAATTGATTTGGAGTCTTTACACTGTATGGAGTGCCTGTAGTTCATCAGCCTTTTTTCTTAGAGGGACAGAAGGTTGAACAGCAGTATAGGCAGCTGTTGGAGTGATTTTGATAAAAGTTGTCATTGTTGTGCTTAAAATTGTAAACCTTGTCCTGAACTGCATGTTCAGATATTTTTCTGTTCATCCCCTACATGTAGGATGGTGGGAGAGGCTATAGCTGGTTTCCTTATTTTGTAAGGAATGTCTGTGAAGGTTCTCAGTCATCCGGGTCATCGTAGTCTAAGGAGCTTGGAGCAACTTAAAGAAGTCCAGACGCCTTTCTTTCCAAGCTCCTTAGACTTTTGTAAGGATAGTCACTTCCTACCCTTTATGGGCTCACCTGTGCTTGTATATGGTGGACTATTTAAGGGGTTAAGCCCTATGGGGCTTTGGAGTTGATGTCACGCCGCAGTGCATTGTGGGAGTGCGGCACCAGTTTAGCAGGCTACGAATCGCCTGGATCGGTACAAGATTTGGCTTTTTTTAAGCCTCCATGTTGTGAATTCGCCGTCATTCAAACAAAGGTAAGTCAGCTCGAGTACTGCGAGTAAAATGCGTTTGATTCCCCCCGAACATTCAGATTAGTGCAGCATAAATTCATTCATGAGGGGAAATTACAGTGAGAACATGTGGAGGCTGTTAGAGGGAAAACATAGTGAGTTCAGTGCATTTATGTGACATTGTCCTGAAGGATTTAGTTATTCTCTATGGTTAAAGAAATTGCACTAATTAATTCATATTTGTTATAAATAATCCTAATTATACATCTTGCTTCCGTGTTTGTGTCCTGTGTAAGTAAAAATATATTCTATTTTGGTTTTATACATCGATTAATGACCTGCAGAATCTCCTTATCATATTAAGTGATTCATAAAAGTCGAACTTTATGCTTTCTCCCTCTTGAAAGCGATGACATCCTTGCATTACATACTTTAGGTTCATTTTTTGCTGGCAGATTAAAAAAAACAAACAGGCAGATTTAGAATACAACATGCAGCGTTGTATAGATGGACACATAAAAAGATAAAAAAATCACATGTAAACACTTTGTTACATTTATGATAAATGGATTTGAAAGTAGATAAAACACATTTGTGTCGGCCTTGGCTCATAGTTCTTGTCTTTAAATGAACTTTGTCTGTGTGTGTTACTGCACTCTCAAAGACTGAATGAACCAGCATTGCAGCCATGGGTCACTGTGAGCATCACAGGGAAGGTTGAAGCCGCCCGCTGCACCTGTAAGGCCGGAGTCACGGAGACCTGCAGCCATGTCGCTGCTCTTCTGTTTAATGTAGAAGCAACAGTGTTGATCTGTGGCACAAGGACTGTTACAGATGAACCTGCATACTGGGTTTTGCCTGGTAATATGACCAAGATACAGCCAGAGGTTGGCCATAAGATAGACTTCTCCTCTTCAGCTGCCCAAAAAAAGGCTCTCGATTAAAACATAAACAGACCATCTGTAGTGACAGGGAAAAGAAAAGATTCCACCTGCTACTGTGGAGGAGTTGGATCAACTGATGGGAAAATATTTCTCCAAGCATAGTTCTGTTCTGAATAACCCATAATGTTTTAATTTAGGGGGGCATGTAAATAATTTGCATTTACTGAATATGTACTTACTAAGTACCACAGTTCAAAAGTTGAATAAAGAAATAAATGTTTGCCTATTTTAATTAAAACCACTTTGTAGAACATCAGTTACAATTGTCATGGAAAACAGGGACCCAGGCGCAGTTCTTCTTCACAGAAACGCAGTGCGTTTATTTACAGTGAAATAGACAGGCAAGTCCAACGTCCCTTGCTCCCAGTGCGTTCCGTGTTGTAACTCCCTAGT